AGGAAAGGGAAAAAAAAAAAAAACTATATGGAAAGAAAAAGGAAGGAGAAGGCAAAGAAGAAAGGAAAAGAAAGAAGGGGAAAAAACCCCAAAAAGAAGCGAAAGAAGGAAGGTAAGGTAAAGAAAAATGCAAAAAAAAGCAAAATAAAGGGAAAGGAGGAAAGAGGACTGAGAAAAGGAAAGCATGGAAAAGGAAGGAAGGAAAGGGAAATATTTGTGGAATGAACACTGGAAAGAAAAGACAGAAGACAAAAAGAATGGAAAAAGAGGGAAAGGAAAAGTAAATAAAAGAATGTGACATAATGAAAGGAAAGAGAAGGGAAAAGAAAGGGAAAGAAGAAAGGGAAAGGAAATGTGGGAAAAGAAAATGAAAGAAAGAAGGAAGGAAGGGAAAAGGAAAGTGTTAAGGAGTCAGGAAACAGAGATGAAGACACAAGGAAAGGAGGGAAAGGAAATTGAGGGAAATGGGGTGAAGGATGGGAAAGAAAAGGAGGGAAAGAAAATGCCAGAAGCAAAGGAAAGGAAGGAACAAAAATGGGGGAAGATAGAAAGAAGGAGGGGAGGGAGAGGAAAAAAGGAGAATGTGAGAAAGCAGGGAAATGAAAAAGGAAGGTAAGAAAGAATAGGAAGTAAAGGAAGGGGAATGAATAAACAAGGTATAGGAAATAATGGGAAAAGATGGGAAGGAAAGAAGAAAGGAAAGGGAATAAATGTATGAAAAACAAAGAATGAGGAGGCAAAGAAAGAAAAGAAAGAGAAAACAACAAAAGGAAGAGAAAGAAGGAAGGTAAGGGAAAGAAAAATGGAAAGATGTAGGGATCGGAAAGAAGGAAGTGAAAACGAAGGGAAAGCAGGAAAGTGGACTGAAAAAAGGAAGGAATGGAAAGAGGATTAATTATTGAAAAAATATTGGAAAGGAACAACAGAAAGAAAAGGAAGGGAACACAGAGGGAAAGGGACAAGTAAAGAAAGGAATGCGAAAGATGGAAGTAATACGACGGAAAGAAAGAAAGGAAAGGGAAAAATGGGAAAGCAAAGAAGGAAGTAACAAAAAAAAAGACTAAAAAAAAAAAAGAGAAAGGAGGAAGACAAGGAAAAATGGAAAGCAGGAGGAAAGGAATGGTAAAGGAAAGGGGAAAGAAGAAAAGAATGAGAAGGAAAGAAAAAGAAAGGGGAAATAAACAGAAGGAAAGAAAAAGAAGGGAGAAAAAGATTATTGTCCTGTTCTTGGGTAAAGAATGGAATAGATTATAAAAATAGCCGGAATATTGGGTCTGGGAATACAGCTGAATACCCAGCTGACGCTGGTTTGTCGTTTCTGACTTGAAAGCACAATATGAACCCTCCTGGGGTTGCCGGTGACAAATCGTCTCCCCGGATTGGCAGAACGTGCGAATCTCAGTGGTCGCGGATCTGCTTGGAGCTGCAATTCACATTAGACCCCTTTTCACCGCTTTGAGTGCTTTTCAGCCACAATGCCTCCATGACCCTTCAATGAACTCGTTGATTTAACCCCTCCAAGGGCAGGAAAGTCAGCACCTAGCTTGTCAGCGTCGGTCATCCGGCGCAGGGCAGGTTAACGGCGTAATATTTCTAATTGAATTTTGACTCATAACGCAGGTCATTATGCTTTCCATAATAGGAGGACAAAGGAAGCAAATTAATTAGAGGCCACTTAGATCCCGGGTTAAAGAGGAAATGGAGGCTGGCGTCACACAGAGCGGTCATGTGATCATTCATTCTTCAGTCTTGAGATTATTCGATCTTGATGATGTCGTTCGCTAACTGAAATCCAGTTGCCAGTGAATCTCATCGGCGCGGAACGCCTTTCGGGCCTTAGTGCATGGAGGAGAAATGGTTACCTCGAACTTCTTGTTTGTGGGAACAAGCGGCAAATGATCACCCCGGACCCAGATTTTTATAAATACCCCCCCCCCCCCCCCCCCCGCCATTACTTTTTTTTATTACCGCCCTTTTTACAGTTCCATCAGCCTACTCCCACATTGGCCATCCTGGCATAATATTCAACCCTCCACACCTTTATATAAAATGCTTTCCTTCGTAGACCCTTAAGCATCTTTCAACTGTAAGGACCAAGATAGAAATGAATGCCACAGTAAAAGATACAAGAACAAAACCAGCTGCAATATTCACCTTCAATCCACAGCTCCCCATGTAGTTCTTTTTTTCTACCACTAGATGTCCTCAGTCTGATGGCCAGCATCATTCAATCCACTTTGTCCTGGACCCGCCCCTAGCTTGTGATTGGACAGTGAAAGGAGAAGCAGCACAGTGACGAGTCTATTTCTCTTTCACTCTGCTCTGTCCTCCTAACAGCATGCTTCTCGTCAGTGTATGTGACAGGGACTGGAGGAAGCTGATACTGGGTCACATTCATTCTTACACTTCTTGCTTTCAAATGACCATTTAATTCCTGGAATGGACTAAAGAAAAAAAATGTTTGCCTATCTATACGCTAGCGGCTGTTGTCACCAGGGCTGTGGATAGGGGGTTCCACCAGAACTCCTGTACAGGGCCCAGGCCAGCAGGGGGGGGCAGTTAGCTGGGTTAAGAGTATGTAAGCAGGCAGGGTGATTGGTATGGTGGTGGTGGTGGTGGGGGGGTCAGTTACTGGAAACAATCCCCTGTATCAGTGGCGGACTGACCATTTAGAAACTTGGGCACTGCCTGAGGGCCCGGGTTCAGTAGGGGGCCCCATGAGATGCCCATGGTACCTTTCCAATAGGCTTTTTTGAGTTTGAGCAAGGACACAGGGGCCCCATGATCCCATTGCCCGGGGGTCCCATGAGTTGTCAGTCCGCCCCTGCCCTGTATGGCTCTCTCTGCAGCAGCTGAAAGCTGGCTTCTTCTCCTCTCCCTCCCGCTGGCTTTAAGCTGCTGCAGAGGGAGCCATACAGGGGACTGGTTCCAGTAATTGACTCTCCCCCTACTGCACCCAGTATTTGACCCCCAGTTCCAGTAACGGACCCCCTACCCTCCTACTGAGAGAGCAAGTTAGAACATGTGAGAACACGCTCCCTGTGTACAATAGGTTTTCCCCCTGCTGTCCTTGCCCCCCTGTGTGCCCCCCATCCCCCCGCAGTGCTGCCGGCTTCCCTCCTCTCCTCCCCACCAGCAGCTGCAAGCACATAATAGGATCCTTCAGGATGGAAAGTGAGGGAAGGTTCTGGTGAATACGTCACATTTACCAGCCCCTTTCCTTCAGGAACACAATGAGTAATCGGTACCAATCACTCACAGTGTTCATTCATAACCGAAGCATAGTAAAATGTGCTTTTGTTTGGGGAGGGGAGCCCTGTTATGTTGGCTGTATGGGGCCCCGTGGTTTCCCTGGTTGTCGCCTTCAAAGCAGTCCCCTGTGCCACTGCCGCAAACATTCCTGGAATTCATTCAATATCTTTGTCGCAACATGCGGGAGGTCTGGAATGTCATCAAGTCTGGGATTTTCTAATTTTGGAAACTGTCAAAAGTCTCAGGGTTCTAAGTCAGGGAAATAAGGTGGTTGGTTAAGTTTTGGAATGGATTTCTGGGCCAGGAACTTGCAAACACTTAACGAATCATGTGCAGGAGCATTGTCGTGGTGGAGAATCCATTGGCAAGGCCAGAGTTACAGTCTTTTCCTCCATGCAGATTCCCATAACCTTTTCATTTTCCACATTTGTGTTTTTGCCCCCTTGTTACGTCATTGGGGACATCTTCATGTCCTCTTCTAAACCTCCTATGCCATTCAAAAACACGTGATTTCTTCATGGAAGGTTCACCAGAAGCCTGTTGTAACAGAGTTGACGTTTCACTCGTACTTTTGCCAATTTTCATGCTAAATTTGATGTTATACCGCGACTCCAGATCCCTGTCATTCATTTTCCGGCAACAGCGCACTGCACACACGTGTTGTTTCTTCTACTACTCCGTAAAGTCCGAGTCCACTGGTCTGCGACCCAAGAGAGAGCAGGTTAGAACATGTGAGAACACGCCAATGACTGTGTGACCGCCACCATAGTGCTACGCCGCAGGCATTCCGGAAATCACATTGCCACACCTTGTATGTTCAATGATCTAGAATTCCGCCTTAATTTGTGTATTTTATATATCTATTAGAGGGAAACTAAAGCCTTCCTGTCGTTTGCAGCCAAAGAAGCCGCCATCTTAGCCTTTGTTTGATCAGCAGTTCTGCACATGTGATCAGCTATGACACCAGCCATTTGCTGGCGTGATCGTTTGGTTACAGAGCACAAGCAACTGAGACAGTTATCCTTCACCACATGCCTAGAATGTAACTGTTTAGGAAGCAGGTAAATGAATGGATTTAGTTCCATTTTATCTGCACTATATTGCCAAAAGTATTGGTTGGCCTTTCCATGCACACGACCTTTAATGACCCCGTAGGGTTCACTATTGAGTTGGCCCCGCCCTTTCCATGCACACGACCTTTAATGACCCCGTAGGGTTCAATATTGAGTTGGCCCCGCCCTTTCCACGCACATGACCTTTAATGTCCTCCCAGTCTTAGTCCGTAGGGTTCAATATTGAGTTGGCCCCGCCCTTTGCAGCTTCAACTCTTCTGGGAAGGCCGTCCACAAGGTTTAGGAGGGTGTCTATGGGAAGGTTGGACCATTCTTCCAGAAGCACATTTGTCAGGTCAGGCACTGATGTCGGGGGAGGAGGCCTGGCTCACAGTCTCCGCTCTATTTCATCCCAAAGGTGTTCTATGGGGTTGAGGTCAGGACTCTGTGCAGGACAGTCAAGTTCCTCCACCCCAAACTGGCTCCTCCATGTCTTTATGGACCTTGCTTTGTGCACTGGTGGGCAGTCATGTTGGAACAGGAAGGGGCCGTCCCCAAACTCTTCCACAAAGTTGGGAGCATGAAATTCTCCAAAATGTCATGCCTTAAGAGTTCCCTTCACTGGAACTAGGGGGCCAAGCCCAACCCCTGAAAAACAACCCCACACCATAATCCCCCTCCACCAAGCTTTACACTTGGCACAATGCAGTCAGGCAAGTACCGTTCTCCTGGCAACCGCCAAACCCAGACATGTCCATCAGATTGCCAGACAGAGAAGCGTGATTGGTCACTCCAGAGAACACGTCTTTCCACTGCTCTAGAGTCCAGTGGCAGCGTGCTTTACACCACAGCATCTGACGGTTTGCATTGCACTTGGTGATGGAAGGCTTGGATGCAGCTGCTCGGCCATGGAAACCCATTCCATGAAGCTCTCTACGCACTGTTGTTGGGCTCATCTGAAGGCCACACCAAGTTTGGAGGTCTTTAGCTATTGACTCTGCAGACAGTTGGGGACTTCTGCGCACTGTGCGCTTCAGCATGCGCTGACCCCGCCCCTGTCATGTGACCTGGCCTACCACTTGGTGGCTGAGTGGCTGTTGTTCCCAGTTGCTTCCACTTTGTTATAATTCCACTAACAGTTGAGCGTGGAATATTTAGTAGCCAGGAAATGTCACGGATGGACTTATTGCCCAGGTGGCCACCTATCACGGGACCACGCTTGGAGTCACTGAGCTCCTGAGAGCGACCCATTCTTTCACCAATGTGTGTAGAAGCAGTCTGCATGCCTAGGGGCTTGATTGTATACACCTGTGTCCATGGAGGGGATTGGAACACCTGAATCACATGATATGGAGGGGATTGGAACACCTGAATCACATGATATGGAGGGGGGATTGGAACACCTGAATCACATGATATGGAGGGGATTGGAACACCTGAATCACATGATGAGGGGATTGGAACACCTGAATCACATGAATGGGAGGGGATTGGAACACCTGAATCACATGATTGGGAGGGGATTGGAACACCTGAATCACATGATTGGGAGGGCGGGGCCAATACCTTTGGCAATATAGTGTATATTCTTTCTTTATACTGGTTTTTCACATACCAGCTGTAAGTTGAAATCAGTCCTATGGGTGGGGGGCGACTGATTTGGAATGTGACAGACAGAAGAAGGAGACAGTTGCAGAAGTGCCTGTACTGATGGTTAGAAGTCATCTGCCAGCAGCAGGAGGACACTGTGTACAATGTAGACCTGTGTCTGCAACCCACAGACGTAGGATGGACGTCATAGGCAACCTTCTGTATCTGCTACGGCTACAACACTGTGCAGTACTTACCTTCCAAACAGGGTCTTCAGGAATGGAAAGCCTAGACCCCGGGCAGGGGCGGACTGACCATTTGGAAACTCGGGCACTGCCCGAGGGCCCGGGGTCACAAGGGGGCCCCATGAGAAGCCCCTGGTACCTTTTCCATAGGCTTTTTTGAGTTTGGGCAAGGACACAGGGGCCCCATGATCCCCTATTGCCCGGGGGCCCCATGAGTTGTCAGTCCACCCCTGACCCCGGGAGAGTTGTTAGCACAGAGGACTTGTTGCAGTATATTGTGCTATATCTCAAGGTGCTCCTAAAGCCCCCAGAATTCTTCTGATCAGGCAGTTTTATGCCCAATCTGTCAATAATGAGAAGGTGACTTCTACTTCCAATCAATATCTCATCAGAGAAGATCTTTAAAAAGAGAACCTGTCACATGCACAACGATGGCTGGGATTTTGCTGGATAAGCCATTATATATGATTCTGCACAACGGCACTGAAGAATGGTTTGTCCAGCAAATTCCCTCAGACTCTCGTCTTGCAGCCTGAAGAGAGGAACTTGGCCGAAACACAAGGAGATATCAATGTTGGAGGACCAAGTACCAGCCAACCTCAATGCTCCGTGTAATTGGGGGACTATGGGGCCAATGAGGTTTAACGTTGATAAATGTAAGGTACTGCACTTGGGGGGCTAAGCATATGCATGCATCATACATACTAGGGGGGTACAAATGGGGGGGGGGGGGTCAATGGTGGAGAAGGATCTGGGAGTTCCGGTAGATAACAAGCTTAATAATGGCAGCAATGCCAAGCTGCGTGTGGATCTAAAGCGAGCAAAATCCTCTCTTGTATTAGGAGAGGTATAGACTCCAGAGAGAGAGAGATATCATCCCCCCCCCCCGTACAAATCATTAGTAATACCTCATCTGGAATATTCACAAAAAGAACATTGGGGAACTGGAGAAAGTACAGAGAAGGACAACCAAATTGATAAGAGGCATGGAGGAGATCAGCTATGAGGAAAGATTAGAGGAACTGAATTTATTCTACTGAGAAGAGGAGATTAAGGGGGGATATGATCTCCATGTATAATACATAAGCGGGGGGGGGGATATGATCTCCATGTATAATACATAAGGGGGGATATGATCTCCATGTATAATACATAAGGGGGGATATGATCTCCATGTATAATACATAAGGGGGGATATATATCTCCATGTATAATACATAAGGGGGGGATATGATCTCCATGTATAATACATAAGGGGGGGATATGCTCACCATGTATAATACATAAGGGGGGATATGATCTCCATGTATAATACATAAGGGGGATATGATCTCCATGTATAATACATAAGGGGGATATGATCTCCATGTATAATACATAAGGGGGGGGGGGATATGATCTCCATGTATAATACATAAGGGGGGGGGGATATGATCTCCATGTATAATACATAAGGGGGGGGATATGATCTCCATGTATACCATAAACATAAGGGGGGTATGATCTCCATGTATAATACATAAGGGGGGGGGGATATGATCTCCATGTATAATACATAAGGGGGGGATATGATCTCCATGTATAATACATAAGGGGGGGATATGATCTCCATGTATAAATACATAAATGGGGATATGATCTCCATGTATAATACATAAGGGGGGGATATGATCTCCATGTATAATACATAAGGGGGGATATGATCTCCATGTATAATACATAAGGAGGGATATGATCTCCATGTATAATACATAAGGGGGGGATATGATCTCCATGTATAATACATAAGGGAGGGAATATGATCTCCATGTATAATACAAAGGGGGGATATGATCTCCATGTATAATACATAAGTGGGGGATATGATCTCCATGTATAATACATAAGGGGGATATGATCTCCATGTATAATACATAAGGGGGGATGGATGTGATCTCCATGTATAATACATAAGGGGGGGATTATGATCTCCATGTATAATACATAAGGGGGGATATGATCTCCATGTATAATACATAAGGGGGGATATGATCTCCATGTATAATACATAAGGGGGGATATGATCTCCATGTATAATACATAAGGGGGGGATATGATCTCCATGTATAATACATAAGGGGGATATGATCTCCATGTATAATACGTAAGGGGGGATATGATCTCCGTGTATAATACATAAGGGGGATATGATCTCCATGTATAGTACATAAGGGGGGTATGATCACCATGTATAATACATAAGGGGGGGGGATATGATCTCCATGTATAATACATAAGGGGGGGGTATGATCTCCATGTATAATACATAAAGGGGGGGATATGATCTCCATGTATAATACATAAGGGGGGATATGATCTCCATGTATAATACATAAGGGGGGATATGATCTCCATGTATAATACATAAGGGGGGATATGATCTCCATGTATAATACATAAGGGGGGGATATGATCTCCATGTATAATACATAAGGGGGGGATATGATCTCCATGTGTAATACATAAGGGGGGATATGATCTCCATGTATAATACATAAGGGGGGGATATTATCTCCATGTATAATACATAAGGGGGGGATATGATCTCCATGTAATAATACATAAGGAGGGATATGATCTCCATGTATAATACATAAGGGGGATATGATCTCCATGTATAATACATAAGGGGGGGATATGATCTCCATGTGTAATACATAAGGGGGATATGATCTCCATGTATAATACATAAGGGGGGGATATGATCTCCATGTATAATACATAAGGGGGGATATGATCTCCATGTATAATACATAAGGGGGGATATGATCTCCATGTATAATACATAAGGGGGGATATGATCTCCATGTATAATAAATACATAAGGGGGGGATATGATCTCCATGTATAATACATAAGGGGGGATATGATCTCCATGTAAAATACATAAGGGGGGATATGATCTCCATGTGTAATACATAAGGGGGGGATATGATCTCCATGTATAATACATAAGGGGTGGATATGATCTCCATGTATAATACATAAGGGGGATATGATCTCCATGTATAATACATAAGGGGGGGATATGATCTCCATGTATAATGTAGTGGTTCATATAGTGAGCTCGGGTGATAGTTATTCCTCATGAGGTCATCACAGAGGACAAGGGGGCGCTCTATACATCAGGAAGAAAATAAATGTAATCTCCAAACACGGAAAGGTTTCTTCACAGTAAGAGCTGTGAGAATGTGGAATAGACTCCCTCCAGAGTTGGTTGTGGCCAGCTCAGTGGATTGCTGTAGGAAAGTCCTGGATTCTTTCTTGGATACACAGAATATAACTGGATATAACATTTATAGGGAAAGGTGATCCAGGGAATATCGATTGCCTCTCGGGGGGGATCAGGAAGGAATTTTTTCCCAGCAGGAGGGGAAATTGGATCGTGCTTTGCTGGGGTTTTTTTTGCCTTCCTCTGGATCAACTGTGGGTGTAGGATTATAACTTTTTTTTGTTTTTAATGGTTGAACTGGATGGACTTTTGTCTTTTTTCAGCCAGACTAACTATGTAACACTCCTGGCCGTATTATATCAGGTGGAGAAATAAACATTACAGTCACAATTAAACCCTTGAGATGTATATAGGGAGTGCAGCTTCCTTGTTCAGTCTTTCGTCCTGGCATTGCTCTTCTGCACCAGTCTTTGATCTTGGCATTGCTGTGCTAGCCTGCTCTGCTCTTTTATCCTGGCATAGCTGTAGTGCACCAGTCTTTCATCCTAGAATTGTTGTATATACATACATACATATACATGGCATAGCTGTACTACACCAGTCCTTCATCCTGGCATTGCTGTAGTGCACCAGTCTTTGATCATGCCATAGCTTTGCTGTACCAGTCCTTCATCCTTGCTTAGTTGCACTGGTTCTTCATCCTGGCATAGATGTGCTGCACAAATCTAATATTATGGCCTAGCTGTGCTACAACGGTCTTTCATCTGGCATAGCTGTGCTGCAACAGTGTTTCATTCTGGCATAGTAGTGGTGCTCCGGTATTTCATCCTGGCATAGCTGTGCTGCTCCGGTCTTTCATCATCCTGCATAGTAGTGGTGCTCCAGTCTTTCATCCTGGCATAGCTGTGCTGCTCCGGTGTCTTTCATCCTGGCATATCTGTGCTGCTCCGGTCTTTCATCCTAGCATAGCTGTGCTGCACAAATCTAATATTATGGCCTAGCTGCTCTGCAACGGTCTTTCATCCTGGCATAGCTGTGCTGCTCCGGTCTTTCATCCTGGCATAGTAGTGGTGCTCTGGTCTTTCATCCTGGCATAGTAGTGGTGCTCCGGTATTTCATCCTGGCATAGTATTGGTGCTCAGTCTTTCATCCTGGCATAGCTGTACTGCTCCGGTCTTTCATTCTGGCATAGTAGTGGTGCTCCGGTCTTTCATCCTGGCATAGCTGTGCTGCTACGGTCTTTCATCCTGGCATTGTAGTGGTGCTGGTATTCCGGTCTTTCATCCTGGCATAGTAGTGGTGCTCCAGTCTTTCATCCTAGCATAGCTCTGCACTGGTCTTTCATCCTGGCATAGCTGTGCTGCTCCAGTCTTTCATCCTGGCATAGGAGGAGTGATGCTCCGGTCTTCAACATCTGGCATAGCTGTGCTGCTCCGGTCTTTCATCCTGGCATAGCTGTGCTGCTCCGGTCTTTCATCCTGGCATAGCTGTGCTGCACCAGTCTTTCATCTTGGCATAGTAGTGGTGCTCCGGCCTTTCA